TGTACTATTACAACGGACGCGGTGGAAAATACCATAATTAAGCTAGCAAATGTTGTCTGCCATCGAACGAATAGCTTTCCGCCCCCCACACGCGGTCGCAAAACTAGAGCACTGAGCGCGAACGGACAGAGCGGAAAGTTGTTCGCGTGATGACGAGAGGAGCGCCGAAAAAAGAAGATTGCGAAAATTAAAAACTTTCTACTTGACCTCATTGAGACGAAGAATCTCTCGCTCGCGACAAGATAATCACACACATCACACGGGCATTTGTGTGTGTACACGCAATGGCGACGGTAACCGTTACACACACACACACACACACACACAACACAACACACACACACACACACACACAACACACACACACACCACAACACCACACACAAAAAAAAACACACACACACACACACACACACACACACACACACAAACACACAGCACACACACACACAGCGCGCGCACACGGCGCACGAAACATACACACACACACACACACACACACACCACACACAAACACACACAGCACACACCGACACACGCACACGCACACACACCACCACACACACAACAACACCACACTCTCCCTCTCTCTCCTCTCTCTTTCTCTCACACACACACACGACACACACACACACCACACACACACACACACACACACTCTCCTCTCTTCTCCTCTCTCTCTCTCTCTCACACACACCGACACACACAACACACACACACGCCAAGACAAGAAACCTCGACGAACATTCATCGAAAATGAACAATCACATGGAGATGTCTCTCCACCCCGCGGCACTGCTTAATTAGGGGAATAATTGCAAACCACGGCCACGCCGCCCCGACGCGCTGCACGGCATTAACGCGCGCGCGCAAGCCAGCCGGCCCGCATCCTTTAAGCATCCGCCGATATGCGGGTCACGTGACCGGCGTCGGCGGTGATAATATACGGACGCGTGGCGACGATCGCTTCGTCACTCTTGCTTTAACACGTCGGACGAGGACAAAGGACAGCAAGTTCCGTACTTCTCTTTCTGCTCAGCAGAACTTCCAGCGACTCACCGATAAAAACCGTAAAGTCTTTTAGGTTCGATGCTGATGATGTACTGTCCGTTAGTGATGCTGGTGATGCATTGTGTGTGATGGTTTGTTTGTCAGTAGCGTCACCCTTCTCCCTCTCTCTCGTCTCTCTCTCTCTCTCTCTCTCCTCTCTCTCTCTCTCTCTCTCTCTCTCTTCTCTCTCTCTGTCTGTCTCTCTCTCCTCTCTCTCTCTCTCTCTCTCTCTATTGTTGCTTCTCTTTCTTCTTCATTCTTCTTCTAGCTATTCTCCTCTTTCTCTCTTTTTCTCTTTCTCTCTTTCTCTCTTTCTCTCTTTCTCGTCTTTTCCTCTTCTTTCTCTCTATTCTCTTTTTCTCTCTCTATCTACTACCTATCTATCGTATCTACCTATCTATCTATCTATATATATCTATTTATCTATCTATCTATCTATATATCTATCTATCTATCTATCTAATCTATCTATCTATCTATCGTATCTATCTATCTATCTATCTATCTATCTATTATCTATCTATCGTATTATCTATACTTATCTATTCTATCTTATCTATCTATATCTAATCTATTATCTATCTCTCTCTCGTCTCTTCTGTTGTCTGTCGGTTCTCTCTCTCTCTCTCTCTCTCTCTCTACTTCTCTCTCTCTCTTTCTCTCTCTTCTCTTCCCTTCTCTCTGCTTCTCTCTCCTCTCTCTCTCTGTCTGTCTGTCTCTCTCTCGCTCATGTTAGTATTAAAGAGGCATTGTAGTTAGTATATGAGTATTAGTTATTATTATAGATAATGTTATATTTATATGACATATATAATTAATATATAACATTCTATTATATTACATAACATCATTGTAATATCCATGGCATTAGTGGCTAACTGAGCATATATAGTACTCATGGTAGCGATCACTGAGGCGTCGGCAATAATAGTGTCTCTTGTGTATGCAGAGAGATAGCAAATACTGTACGCGCAGTAATAGCATCAAACAGGCCGCGCGAATTTTAGGCGGCGAAGTTGAACTGTTGGAATAATAATTGATTTAGATTAATTTGTTGTGATAATAACGAAGAGATACTGAGATACTGAGGCTGCAATGAAGTGGACATGATAGGTTGTTCTTTCATCAGATCCGGTTCTCTCCTTCGCTCGCAGCCAATCATGAACGCGGTTACCTCGCCACTCTTGCTGGGCCTCGTTCTGTCTGGCGCCCTCTGGGACTCCACGGACGACGGCTGACGGGGCGACTCCGCCGCGGTTACCATGACGACGACGCATACGGGTCACGGCGCCCGCTGACGGCTACGCGAGCGGCCCCGTACGATACCTGGCACCCGTGGCCTACGATGGTGGTCGGCGCACAGCGGGCTCCCGACAGGAGGACGGATACGGAAACGGCCGCGCTTACAACACGGAAACGGGATAGCGAAACGGGCGGTTTACCACACACGGGGAAAGCGGATTACGGAAACGCGGCGGTTACCAACACGGAGCACTTTGACGCCGTTTCCTTGGCCAACTTCGGCGACCTCGGAGTCGGAAGCCTCGCAGTCTCAAGAAACTTCGGCGGAGAATTCGTCGACTGTTCGGAGGTTTCAACTTCAAACAGGCGCAGCGACGCCGCCGCCGTACGGCACCAAGAGGCGCTCTGCTATCCGATCCCGTCCGGCCGGTTCGTTCGGAGATTCGTCACCGATCTGGATCCGCGAGCCAATTACGAGCCAGCGCGGCCGAGAGAAGCGGAGCCGGATCGGGAGAGGCCGGGCGTGTATCAGTGCTGCCCGCAAGGTGAGCATGAATGCCAGCCAGCAGCTTCACGCAAGAGGCAGCCGGGAGCAGGACACGCGAGGGCCGGGAGCCGTGATACAAGATTCCAGAAGGTACCACGAGTCGCCTACCAGCCGTCACCATCGCCCGCGTCGAAGGTACGCTTGCAGGCAAGACCGTGCGTCATCATTCTCCCGCGGGCTGCTTGCTTGCTCTCGCCGTCCGCCGGGGTCTCATGCCCTGCACAGCGAGCACGCTGCACCAGCCGAGTACGTTGCACCAGGCCAGTATGCTTGCACCAAACGAGTATGCTGTACCGGCTGCATATGGCAGACGCACAGAGTATGATGCACCGCTAGGTACGTGGCACTTCAACACGAGTATGCTGCACCGTATGAATACGCTGGGGACGCGCCGAGTATGCTTGCACCGAATGAGCAGGCTGACACACCGCAGTTATGCTGCACCTACTGAGTACGGCTGCACACAACGAAGTATGCTGGCACCCAATGAGTACGAGCTGCACACACGAGTATGCCTGCCACCCAGATGAGTACGCTGCACACAAACGAGTTATTGCTGCACTACTGTCTACCCGAGGAGAGGGGAGTATGCTGCACCAGGCTGTCCGTGGAGACTACACCATTAAATCTGGTCACGCGGAATCGTAATTCAACGTTGATCTTCCCGGTAGAAAAAAAAAAACACAAAAAAACGACCCTCCCCCACTGACAAATGAATCCTCTGTACCGACAGCAAGGAGCTAAATATTTAGCTAAATAATTTAGCTCAAATTATTTAGCTAATATTTAAGCTCCTTGCACCGACAGATGCATGGATGATGAAACGTTTATCCGTCTTGAGGACCCGACAGCTCGGTCCGGTCGCCGTCGGTCAGCCGTAGAGCAATGTCCGACCCGGCATACCGTGACCGGACCTTGTTCCGTGTATGTAACGCGAGCGCAGACTGGCAATTCATTATGTTCGTACACTTTAAAGCCAACGCGAAGAAAGTGGAACCGCGCATGACGACAACGATGACGGATGATCGAATTTAATCCGCTGTGGAGATGAGCCAGGCGGCGACTTCCTCGCGACCTGGGAAGTCGCAGCGCCGACCTTTGACCTGGTAGTGTTAAGCAAGTTTTGTGACATTTATAAGCGCCGATTTTTTTATTTATTTATTATCGCGCCGTGATTAAAAATCTTATTATATAGCACGTGAGTTTGCTTTTGGTTGTATTTCCTTATGTATGCACTCGCTACCGTAATTACATCGCATGCCCTTGTAAACTCGATAAATGTGGACAAAACATCTCTAAAACCTTCATTAGAATCCTATAAACATATGACGCAAAACATCTAAAACATCATTAGAATTATATCACTAAATTATAGACACACCACACATCTCACAAACCACATCGAAATCTTACTAAATTATGGCGTAAAACGTCAAAAACTTTATTTAGACGACTTACAAAATTCACTAGAATAACTAATAGACACCAAAATTACTAAATTATTAGAACACAACAACATTCTCAAAACCGCTATGGGGAATTCTTAGCTAAACTACGGCCAGCAAATATCTCAGGCAATAATGTAAAACACCTCGCTAAGCGTTCCGTGTTAAGACACACGGTATCATACGGTGAATATGATATTAAGAAACCAGATAACCCACCGATTACACATTTCTATCTAACGAAAACCACGAGATGCGATTGTCATCTGTCGTATGACGTGAATTTATACGTCGCTTTCTCGTGCTGTCGTCGCGTGCAAGTTGTTCCAGAACGAACGCCTAGAGAGCAGCACGTGATACAACCCTTAGGTGCTCGGTAACCACGTCCCGGCGGTGAGCGTCACCCTAGATACGTCAGGGTGTTCCAGTTGATGACGGAGACACTCAGAGAACACGGGGCGACTCAGCTGTCGTCATGTCCTCCATCTCCTATACCATGTCTGAAATTATTGTCCTCAAGCGAATGAAAAAAAAAACGCGAAGCCGCGTCATTAGTACGAAGTGGCATTATCAACTCCTCCATTTTTACCTTACCGTTCCCCTAAATTTCCTCCCGTGTTCTTTCCTTCTAGTTCCCCCGATTTCGTTTTCTCTTTAGAGGCTTGAAAAAGCATTGTGTGAAGTTATCAGAATTTCGCTGCCGCTTGCTCCGGTTCTCTAACTCTAGCCATGCTATTGAGAGATAGACAACATTGCTCCCCTCTCCTCTTCCAGTCAGAGACATCCCATCGCTGCATTGTGCTAAAATCTCGTGTCAGTCCTGTTCCCGGATCCGCAAAATAATCATAGAGGAATTGTGTGCCGTTAATTCCTATTCTATTTAGGTATCTATTCTCTATTATATTTCTATTCTCTTCTCTACATCTATTCTATGGTCTATATCTATTCTTTATTCTATATCTATTATCTATTCTATATCTATTTCTCTATTTCTATATATATTCTCGTTATTCTATACTCTATTATCTATTCTATATCTATTTCTCTCTATTCTACATCTAATTTCTCTACTTCTATATCATATTCTCTATTCTTAAATCTATTCTCTAGTTCTATATCTTATTCTTATTCTATAACTCTATTTCTTTATTTCTATATCTATTCTCTATTCTATATCTATTCTTTATTCTATATCTATTATCTATTCTATATCTATTCTATGTTCTATATCTATTTTCTCATACATTTTGTTTTTTTTTTTTTTCTTATATTCTTATTCTCTATTCTATATCTATTCTCTATTCTATTATCTATTCTCTATTTTTATATATACTTTCTATTCAAATATATCTATTCTCGTGTTCTATATCTATTCTCTATTTCTACATCTATTCTCTATTTATATCTATGTGCTACTATTCTATATCTATTTTCTCTATTCTACATCATATTCCTCCTCCGAAACCTCCTCCTCCGTGACCTCCTCCTCCGTAACCGCCTCCTCCTCCCCCTCCTCCGCCATGTCCGTAGCCTTTCTTCGTCGGACCGTACTTGACTGGATGCGACTTCGTGTAGACGGGATCGTACTTCACATCCGGATACTTATGGAAGCCGTACGCGGCTCCGGCGCGTGCAGAGCCGTAGCCGCTCGCCTTCTGACTGAACTGCTGGACGGCGTTCTGCTTCGCCTTGCGTGCAGCGCTGATCGCAACACCCGCCCGCCCGGATCCGTATCCGCTTCTCTCCGCCTCGCTGCTCTCGTACTGGCTCGCCGTTCCGGATCGGTATCGGCTGCCGACGACGGCCGGTTTCGACTTCGTCTGCGAGCCGTACGGAGCGGCGGCGGCGGCGTCGGCACGGCCCTGGTTGAAGTTAAATCCGTCAACGTCGACGTATTCTCCGCCGAAGTTGTTCAGACCGATGCCGCCGTAGCCAAGGTTTCCGAAGCCTCCGTGTCCGTAACCTCCTCCTCCTCCTCCTCCGCCGCCTAACCCGAAACCTCCTCCCCCGTAGCCGTAGCCGCCGCTGAAGCCTCCCCCACGGATGTGACCGCCGCCGCCGCCGCCGCCGCCGCCGCAGAGGGCGCTCGCGATGCAGACGAGGAAGATGACCGCCGTTAGCGCGGTCGTCGTCATGGTTACTGAAAGATGAAGCGTTAAGGAAGAAGACGTCAGAGTTTTGTTTTCTGGAGGAATTAGTTGCTCTGGCTGCCAGAGCGATAGCGGCGTAGCGATTCATTCCGAAATGGGTTCAAAATAACAAAAAGGAAGGATGAGAGACGAATGGGTGCCTCTCTGCGAGTAAACAGCTTGTAGGGAAAATGTACAGAGTGTGTAAGGATGGTAAGAAGCTACAGACATAATACTAGTATATAATATAATATAATATAATAGCGTAATAACGTATTTAGTTACATATACCGCTTCCCAGCCACCGACGCGCTCACACACTACCGTGGTTATAAACCACGTCCTAACCAAATACCCAGTCGCACAGTACTATGACTACCATCGTAATACCACATCTCAACTCGGTTTACTTTATACTACCGTAGCTATACCCTATGTACTTTTCAACGCCTAGCTTATAATACCTTAGTTATAAAGCATCGCAACCTTTCCTCTAGTGCGATAGTAATACCTCGTTCTAGCCGACGCCTACTCTATAGCCAGCCATAGCGCTGTGATCATACAGCTTCCTAACAAACGCCTACCTTATAAATAATTATACGTAGTAATGCGATCCATGATACGATTGCTTACCTTGTAGAGGTGCGAGGCAGACGAAGACAGATGTGTGTGCGTGTTCACTTCCCTTCTTCCTGAACGTGTTAAGCAAGAGTATCGAATCAAGCGCTCATGCTCCGTATTTATGCATCCTCCTCGGCCGACGCGACCTCCTGAGGGGGCAGGGCAGTCGTAGCGAGGGAGAGGGAGAGGGAGAGGGAGAGGGGGAGGGGGTCACCGACTATACGTATTTGACAGCCGCCGCATTCATCGTCTGGTTCTGTTTGTCCGCCATCACGTGATTGTATGTGCGTACCGGTAATCGTTTGACATACTAGTATTCGAATAATTTCGAAAAATTTGCGTTTTTGTGTGTGCGTGTCTGGTGCTTGCTGTTTTTCTTGGCATCGCTTCCTGATTGCATGTGGCATAGATAGGTAGAGGTGGGGCTGATGGAGGTGGAGGAGGAGGAGAAGAAGCAACCATACTTTGTTGGGAAGTTGTTAGAAGAGTCGTGCCGCTCACAAACGACAAACATAGATTCATCAATCGCTGGAATCCTTCACAGATCTTTCACATCCTTCACAGATCTTTCACATCCTTCACAGATCTTTCACATCCTTCACAGATCTTTCAC